ATGTCAATCAAGTCCGGATGCCAACTCGATCTACAGATAGGACAGAGTGAGCCAGTTTTAGACACACCATAGGAAAAAAGCGTTAGTTGAGTTCAAATTTGATTCTCCTGTGCCTCCCCTATGTAAAAACAGATATGAGACTGATTTCGACACACCGATACCGACACAGGCAAAAAAAATTGGTTTTTTTAATTTTAGTGGTTAGTCAAATTTGAACGCAAGTCCTTTTGTGCGTCCAAAATTGACTCACCCTATACAAATATAAATACACTCCTAAATAGTGATGTTCCTATCATTTCTTATACAGGATAAAGTTCCTTACTGAAAATGGTGCAATGCCGAAACGCGTTTCAGTAGTTCAACAAACCCGCGAGTAAAGATGAACCCAATAAATGACAGTCGAAAGCTTTTTGGCAAAAACTAATTAGCAAATAAAAAAAATTAAATGCAAGTTTTGCTTCTGATGGTATTTACGCTCCCTTAAGCTTGCGGTCGGTCGTTCTGAACACCTCTCTTGGGTGAAGGGTGTTGAGCTTATCGTTCTGTCAATTACGAAAGGAAAGTCGAAGGGAAAAAAATTCGCGAGAATATGAAAGGCTGAAAAAATAACCAGAACCACGAGTGTAACGAATTTCCATTTTTAAATATGAACCAGCCTCAGTACATGTATATCAGGCGATTTAACATCCTGACAAAGTGGAGATGGATTGAGCAGTAGGGTTAGGATGGGGGTTGAGTTAGACTTGTGGAGAATGGATCAATTCTTTGACAAAAGGAATGTTAAGGTCATTGCGGATAAATTGGAGACATAGTAAGGAGTTTGGAGAATTCTTCTGAAGACTTTTGATTGGAATAGTTGGATTCGTTGGATGTTAGATGGCTTGGCAGACCCGACAGCTACGCTTAGTATGTCCAAATTGGTCAAAGTCATCTGTCCTATAAGTATGTGTAGTTGTCCAAACGTTGCTTGAACCTTGTGAGAGGATTCCACATCAGTCGACTACGAATAGCCCTAAGTATTTTACTTGTGTAGATGTCAGTAGTTCTTTACTGTTAAACGTATAGACGTGGGCAAGCTCTTTGTTTCAATTTCAACTTCGTCCTTTTGCTCCATTCTTGAGTTCATGTTGCTCCTGGATATTGAACGTGGCTTGAATAGAATTGGAGTTAGAAGATAAAATTGTGGTATCGTCCTGGTCAGAAGCATGGTGTTGGGATGTATTGGCAGGTGCAGTATAAATAATATGATGGGACCAAGAATGCTCCCTTGTGGGACGCCTGTCTGGATCGGTATTGCCACACTGATAGTTTTGATTCCTCGCGTGTGTTGAGAGTGAATGTATTTATTGGTGTGAATGTGTAGTGTGAGAGAGCGAATGGCGGAATATTGAGTACTCAATCAACCCTCAATTAGTCAGATTGACTCATTGCCGCACCATATTCTGAAGCAACGATCTAATCTATCTATCTAAATAGGATTTTAGGATTTGCCAATAAAGAGTGGGTAAAACTGCTTTAGTTTGAAGAGACCGGATGCCAGAAAAAAAAACCTGAGACATTCGGTCTCAGCAGTAATGCACCGGAGCCGTTCTGTTTTCAAAACAGGAAATAATGTCAACAACACTGAAAAATTGCTGAATTGTGGAATGATGAAGACGAAAACAAAATTGTTGTGAAGGAATGGCATGTAAATCTAGGATGGGTATAGGCGTTTTAAAACGAATCTTTCAACGAATTGGGACATTACTTGGAGAAGGCTGGCTGGTCTGTAATAGGGTAATGGATAAACATAAGTTTATATCTCTCTGTAATATTTTTAAAAAAGTTTTGGCTGAAGTGTAACAGATAGAAGGACGAATTTTAATGGTGTACAAAGAGAAAAAGATAGGGGGTAGAGTAAACGTGTTAATAAAATTTTTCACTTCTCTCCTTTTTCAGTTTAAACTTCATGAAATCATGTCATAACGTTAGATCGTTAGAGAGGGGAAAGTTTTTTCTCCAAAATAAGTTTAAATTGAAATTTGTAAACAATTGCTATCAATACTTACTTTAATCCGGAATTTGGCTACTTTATGTTTTTTGTTTGTATTAAACTTGTGAAAGCTTTCCGCGAGGACTGTTTTTGACTTTGTATATAGTATTAAACAGCTTTTTTTTTTTTTTTGGCGAGAACAGATATTCAGTAGTACATTATGCGTCGACTGACAACGTGTCCAAATCAAATTCTAATCAGCCCTTTCCAGGGCTAAATTTAAGTTGTTTAAGCAGCCCTTCTCAGGGCTAAGCCCGACTAAAATTAAATTAACTGCTGACGGCAACTGTCTATTTAGGGCATTGTCGTTGTGCATTTGCGGACGGGTAGATTTTATGGAAAGCGTTAGAGCGCCGAATCGCCATGTTGTTCCCGAGTGGAAAAAATATTGCAATTCCATTGTAGGATTAGAGCTTTATGATTAGATCATTAAATGTGAGTATGAATATGTTAAGATAATGAAAGTTAACATAACCATGGTGGCAACGCCGCATTGGTCGCCGAGTCTAACATAAAAAAGCGTTTAAACATTTTTTGGGATAGTAATGAAACCGAAACTCGGCCAATTTTATCATTATTTCATAAGGGGGTTGGGTTGGCTTTTCACTATGACGAGTTAGTTTTCAGTGCAATTTCGAATGATAACAATCAACGTCTAATCGTACAACAAACGCCAAAAGAAAAATTACATAATATGCAGAATGCAAGAAAAAAATAGACAAAGAAAGGCCCATTGTTGGGAGAGATAAAAGGCAATATTACGGTCATGTCGAATATCTTGATGTAGATGTGGACGTTATATGCTCATGGTATAGTGCTGCATCGTTTGTTGATGAAGTTGGGGAAGTAATTGTTGCATAAGGGTAAAATAGTTTTACATGATCTCGATACCCATCCCAATTAATTAAACCTTTATATTGATCCAAAGAGATAAACAAACATTTTAGGGAAAATATTCGAATTTAAAATAATCTATTCGTTTGCGTCATTCAATGCTCCACATGCATATACAGGGCGTTAGGCTACTCGTGTTACAAACTTTGCCAGTAGATTCTACATTCAAAATGAAACCGAACACGCCTAATATAACTATGGCCCAAATCTCAGCCATTTCGAAGTTAATCCACTTTTTCTGATTTTTTAAGATTACACGACCTTGCTTCAAATAAACAATGATAATTCCAAGTCTAAATGGTTTTGGACAAATCCGATGATACCGTTGAAAATTACGTTAACTTTCCAAAAAGATGTGATCAATATTAAACTTGTAAATATTCGTGAAATAAGCGTTTTAGTAGCGAGAACTTTGAAAAAAAAATGTTTTTCCAAATTGAAAAACTTACTATGGTGATTTTAATCTACTATTTCCAAACCTAGGGACCAGCAAATTTCAGTAAACGTACTCCATTTAATATTCGTTTTAGTGGTGCAATTTCTTTTTTAATTACTTTTTTCAAAGATAAAGAAATTGATGAAGGAAAGGAAAAACCGTGATTGACGAATTGGCAAGATGGAACGATTAATAATAATAAAAAATAAAAAATTTAACGAAATTTTGAATGAATTTATTAAATTTTCCAAAAGGTGTTTTTTTTATTATTATTATTAATCGTTCCACCTTGCCAATTCGTCAATCACGGTTTTTTCCTTCCTTCATCAATTTCTTTATCTTTTAAAAAGTAATTAAAAAAGCAATTGCACCACTAAAAAGGATATTAAATGGAGTACGTTTGCTGAAATTCGCTGGTCTCTAGGTTTGTTAATACTAGTTTAGAATCACCATAGTAAGTTTTTCAACTAAAAAAAAAAGTTATTTTTCAAAATTCTCGCTACTAAAGCGCTTACTTCACGAACATTTCCAAGTTTGGTATTGATCATATCTTACTGGAAATTTAACGTAGTTTTCAATGTTATCAACGGATTTGTCCAAAAACTTTTAGTTTTGGAGTTATCATTGTTTATTTGAAGCAAGGTCGTGAAATCTTAAAAAATCTGAAAAATGGAATAACTCCGATACTGCTGAGATTCGGACCATAGTTAATTAGGAGCTTTTAGTTCTATTTTGAATGTAGAATCTACTGGCAAAATTCACCCTGTATAAAAGGAGGTGGTCCATATTCCTGCCATGTGGATTCAAGGTGCATCTAATAATATCCAATCTAATGTACACATTTGACAATGGAGAAGCAATCCGAGGTCAGGAAGTCAAACGGCAAGATGTTTTGGAATTTAGAGGTTATTCAATTTATTATGAACCGCAATCCATATGCTGAGCAATATAAAAATCTCTTACAGATTCACAATTCGAAGTTTTTTTACATTTCTACAAGAAACCTACATGAAAGTGGATCATCCGAAAAAGGGAGCGGAGAAGAGGCCCGGGGGTTGGCGAGCATGGAGCTGAGCCCCCTAGTAATGAATTAAAAAAACCATGTTACATAATAAAAATTATAAAATAAAATATATATTAAGTAGCTAACGGTTCTAGGTTTGAATCCCGGCATAGGAATTGGAATTTTATTTGAGAATAATAGGAAAGAAATTTTTGTACTGGACCCCTAGTTTACTGTTACCTAGTTTACATAGTAGTAGGAAGTTATGTTCTCCTTTACTACGACTGAGTAACTTTTTTACAATAAATCAGAATAGAGAAACGATGACTTGATTTAATTTTTTGTGTAGAATCGAGAAATTAAATTAATGTAGATGTGGAAGAAAATATATAAATCATAAGAAGAAAAATCTGATCGGGGGGGTAATCTTCGTTGGTGGGAACATCCCGAGAGCATCTGCTCACTCGGCCGCACGGACCCATGGAGCCCGCTCGACCCCGTTCCCCCTTTCTCTGTTCAAAAGGCCCTTCTTCCGTCCTTGCCCTTCCTCCCGAGTCCTTATTATCCACAGAAAGGATAACTCTTAAGAATAGAAAGCTACCGCGAGCTAGAGGAGGGACCTCGTGAGTGGGGACTTGACGCAATCTTCTCTTCCTGAGTCCACCCTCCCTTACTTTCATACCAAACAGTTCCGACGAAAGAGAGAGTAGCCAGTAACCAGTGAGTCCGGCCGAACAGTTTCAGCGCACCAGTTGAAAGGTAAGACCAGCCTGGGCACCCCTACCAACGCCGCGTCCGTAAACAACAAACCGGTCGAACTGTGATTTGTTATCCTTTCAATAGTGAGTGAGTGCCAATACCGTTTATTGACTTTGATTGATTTGATTAAATCGAAGGGTATGTAATCAAAAAATCACATATATATATTAAAACTACACCACAAGAAATACCAAGGGTGTAAGGGGGTCGGTTCGACCAATTTTTCCTACATGACAAAATTAAATTTTTCAAAATCAATAAATTGTGAGCTTTCAAAGACTACAAATCTTTTATAAATACACCATTTTGCCAGCTAATTTCTGCTGATATAATTAATGGGTATACACAGTAGTTTGAAACTTCATAAAAAATTCATTTTTTATGCATTTTTAATATACTAGAATCTTTTAAATTTTTAAATCAACTAAAACATACCATCCCACTGAGTGTGATTAAGAATAATCCTGAGACCTAAAACACCTGCTATTAAGGATAATCAATTACACCATAAATTTGACTGATTTGTCAAGGGTAGAAGTGGCATAACATAAACGTCTTGTGTTCAAGTTGTATCTAGTCCAATTGGAAAATTTTAGCTAATTATTCATTACTTATTTAAAAATATTTTTGGTCTATTGTTTTTCGGGAAAATCTCCAAGGGTTCACTAGCACACCCTTGAGTTTAGAAAAACTTGCCTTCTTCATAAGCGTTATATAAACACATCTGAGTCAATCGACGATGTTTACACTTACGAAAACCACTAAGAACTTTAATAGGTTTTTTTCCCTGATCATTCTGATCGCGGGATGCAAACGAGGGTCAGTGATGTAAGAGACAAGAGGGCGTCAAGGCGAGTTGGCAGATGTGAATCTGTAATGAGAAGAAATCAGGTTTCGGAACATTTTCGAATCATGCATGATGGTGGCTTTTTTCTCATCGTGGCCTTCCAAACAACTTTCTTACATTTTGTTGACATTTTGGATATATCATGTTGAATGGCGGGTTTTGGCTGAAAATTGGAAATCTTTTTTAGGGTGGAAGAAAGCAGCATATGTTAGTGGGTGTAAAATGATAAAGCATTCCCAGCATATTCATTTAAGTATGACATATCTAAGTCCCAAGAGTATAACCAGGTTTAAAGTTTTCAATATCTAGTGTAATTTTCACAAATTTAAAAAAGGTTTTCTATTCATATCTAATTTATATATAAGGCTTGAGTAGGTGAACCCAAAGGTCACTAATCCACTATGTCCAAGGGTAGAAAGATCGACGTTCTGGTTGGGTCAAAAACAAGGGTTGCGGAGTAGGGACGAAGGAGGCCTCCCAATATAACCCACTCGTGGATACTTGTGACAGCCCACGAGTCCCTCTAGTGAAAGTAACATAAGGAAGTATCCTTGAAGTACATAATTACCATCCCTGTTACATAAATGGAAAGTGAATACTAAAAGTGAACAAAATAGATCGAAATTAGAGGAAATGTTGAGATGGACCTGTTCAAACGGTGACTCCGATCTGGCCTACCTAGATATTAAAATTAATTAAAATGTTATGTGAAGCATTGGAAAAATCTTTGTTTGTGGTCAATGCGTACTGTTTTGTTCTAATTTTCAAAAACTCGGTTGCTTCATTCTCAGGATAGAAATCCCGATATTGGCCCACCCAGCCGATCTTCTGATTAACTCGTGGATAACCTAAAAACCACGATGAACTTGCAGCTTGATGGTCCCTAGTCATTCTAGTAATGGATAGTCCCATCGCATATCTTCTTCGGATAAATCTGTGTAATAAAACACAGACCAATCATTGAAGATGCTAATGCCAGCGCGACCACCTGTAAGCAAAACCAGATCAGGATGATCGGAGACAATCATGCTACATTTTACCAATTTTTTCTCACCAAACCGTGAAAACAGATTTAACGAATTTACCCAGATTTTTTATTTACTACAACCGTTCATGTATTAAAGATTGACCATTTTGAAACATTATGAGAGGCCAGCGAGGTGAACCTAGGGATGGTCTCCAGTCATCCTGGTCTGTATGGACAACTCATCGTCAACTTCTCCGGGCAATCTGTAGGACTCGTTCGAACAAATAAACATACAAGCCAATGAAGATAGCGAATGCCAAACGTGACCTACTGGCAAAACCAGATATGATAAGCGACAATCAAGCTTGAAAGGAGAACAGGAGAGCGATATATCCCCGCAACATTTTCACTCCGGAGAAGTGTGGTGTTTTGTTCTGGGCGGCATTTCTATGGAAGGTCGTAAGTGCCCTAACAGCTGCACGATAAGTTTAAGATGTGTTATCAGAAGAAGGTGTTCATAATATGCCACTAACTGGCGAAGGTTTTATTTTTATGCATGACGATGCAAGGCACCATACAGCTAGGATCGTTGGTGACTACTTGGAACGGGCTTCATTTCAATGTTTGGAGTGGCCAGCGTGTGTCCCGACTTATCGACCACCTTTGGGGCAAGTTGTCAAAGAGTGTAAAACATCGCAGTGATGGCTGAGAATTTGCAAAAATTACGAATGTCGCTGTTGGAAGATTACGAAAATATTCCACAGCACCGCATTCAAAACTTCATAAAATCGATGCAAGCGGTGATTAACGCAAGAGGAGGAAACACTCCGTACTGAGTTGAATATTTTCTTTATTGTTTCCGAAGCAACATTTTTGGCAAAATTGTTTTACTCAGTTCATCTTTTTTATTTAGATGTGTGTAGTGATTAGTGACCGTTAATCGATATTTATTTAGAAATCGTGAGATGCGGTCTGGTGTGATGTAGGTTTCAGAAAAACATTTTCTTTATCGTGCCAACGTTTCGATCTTTATTGAGATCATCTTCAGGGCTCGAAGTGTTTGTCTTCTGTGTAATGCCATTCAAATGCCATTCTTGCGTGTCGTGTCGAGAGTGCCAGTGAGATTTTGCTATTTTATCTAAACAAAAATAGCTCTCGACACGACACGCAAGAATGGCACAATTACACAGAAGACAAACACTTTGAGCCCTGAAGATGATCTCAATAAAGATCGAAACGTTGGCACGGTAAAGAAAATGTTTTACTGAAATCTGCATCACACCAGACCGCATCTCACGATTTCTAAACAAATAAATTTTTTATTTAGCTATATCTTATATTTTTATTTTAAAATATCCAGTAAACAACATATAAAAATTATAAAGATTGCAAGTATTTACTATAAAACGAGGGTAGCCACAGCATATTTAATGATTTTACCTAGTTTTTTTACTATAACAGTTCAGGTTTTAAAGAAAATTGAACCTTTTTAAACATTATGGCTGACGATATGATCAACCTGTAGCTCGATCAGCCTTTCTGGTCTATATGATCAGATTCAACCTCATCTTCTTCGAGCAAATCTGTGGGACTCGTACAACCCAATAAAAATACAGAGAAACCACTGAAGATGGCGAATGCCAAACGCGTCCTACAGGCCAAACTAGATCTGAATGATCGAATTTGTCACGGTTCAAGGTTAATTTCACTTATATCAAATGGCTAGGGATCAAATGATTAAGGACCTAGTTCATTTGTCCTATTTGTTTCTTTTAATACCTCAAGTATCAGATTTCACAGCCTTCTTTTGAATATTTTACACAAAAAAGACATAATTTTACATCAATATAGTTCAAAGAAAAATTACAGCTTCAGCCCTTCTAGTTAAAAAAAGCTTTACTTACACTACATCGCCGTTTTGCGTTCCAAGGGGGACAGAAGCTGGGGAAGAAACGTTCAACGACTCTCCAAGTGGTGTGACGTCCACTAAAATTGCCTCGGTTTAAGGACTAACAGTGCACGGATCATCACGTACACCTTCTGTAATTCGAAGAAGATTAATCGCGAAAGACACGGTCGGGACTCAAGAATTTCTCGCTTGGAAAACAGATACAATCACGTCCTACAAACCCGAAGCGAAGTGGTTCAACCTTTCTGCTTTCGTACGGAAATCATTATCAAAATAAATACGTTTTAAAAAAGCTTTTTTTTTTTTTTTTAAATGCACTATAATTGATAGATGATGACATGATTAATCGACAAGAGATTTTCTATAAACATACAAAAAACTCTGCTAGATTCCACTAGGTCTTTTTTAAATTATTATTATTAACGGACAGAGTTGTCCTTATAATAATTTAAGAGTTTTCACTGGTAAAAACTCTCACCTTTCAAGATAAAAAAGAGGATGAATACGATAGTAATGGCTTACGTAATGATCGTTTCAGAAGTTTAAATGTAGTAGTAAGTCTTGTAGAATGAAGGAACTTGAGGGAACGCGGATAAGTTACAGCCTTTCATTTAGTCTTTCAGAAATAAAATCCGATTTTCCCATTTTATTGGTTTAAACAGTTTTGTCTGAGAATTCTGTACCGTTGACGAAAGGTAGCCCCGGACAATGGCGGGACGAAAGTGGCTTGCACGTCCCAAAATCAATCGGGTAGGCCGAAAGTACGGTCGGTCGGGGGAAAAAATTATTGCGAACTGCTTACAAAACTGCACCAGGAAAAGATCGGTGAACAGTTAGATAATCCACAATTTCAAATGATTCGGGCTTGAAGAAAAAAATCCGCTTTAATTTATATCTACTTTAAGTATTTCTGCTAGGTCAGGAAATATAAACAGGACGTTGAAACGTGCAATTATATCCTATTCATAATAGTTTCCTTCGGTTCGAAAGCGACTTTAAACCTCCCCCTTTTTATTTCATCTTACCATTCATTGTCCGCATTAAACAAACAAACATTATTCTTTTTCAAATCGGTTTCTTAAAGTTTATTTATTTACAAGGATTCAGGAGTAAACTATTCAACTAACGAACTACCAGCTTATCGAGCATAGTAGAGTTGAGATTGCAGAGTAAGGAGGGAGTGAGTGAGTGAGTGATTGAGGGAGAGAGTGAGTGACGGAGTGAATGAATGAATGCGTGAGTGAGATAGAGTGAGTAGGAACTAAGAAGTCTATTCTTCTTCAAATCTGTATCTTAAAGTTTATTTATTTACAAGGATCCAGGAGTAAACTATTCAACTAACAAACTACCAGCTTATCGAGCATAAAATCGGTTTCTTAAAGTTTATTTATTTACAAGGATCCAGGAGTAAACTATTCAACTAACGAACTACCAGCTTATCGAGCATAGTAGAGTTGAGATTGCAGAGTAAGGAGGGAGTGAGTGAGTGAGTGATTGAGGGAGAGAGTGAGTGACGGAGTGAATGAATGAATGCGTGAGTGAGATAGAGTGAGTAGGAACTAAGAAGTCTATTCTTCTTCAAATCTGTATCTTAAAGTTTATTTATTTATATACATGGATTCAGGAGTGACCATTCAACTGTTAATCTATTACCTATCGAGCACAAAAGAATCAAGATTTCAACGTAAGGAGTGAATGAGTGTGTAAGTAAGAATGTGAATAAGTGGGTGAGTTTGTGATATAGTGTGACTAAGTGAGTTGGTGAGAGTGGGAGTAGGTGAATGAGTAAGTAAGCGAGTGAGTGAGAGAGAATTAGAGAGAGAGAAAGAGAGAGTGAGCGGGTGACATTGAGAGAGGGAAAGACGTAATTTTCTTCATCTTCAAATCTATTTACTAAAATGTATTTACTGATATACATGGATTCAGGAATATTCGGATATTGATGCAATTTAGCTTATCTAAGGCTTCATAAATTACCAACCAAACTTGACAAAGTTATAATAATCTACTGAGACTATATCTTAGGTGTGGGTAAATGGCTAAAAGCTGAGAATATTGAAATAAACAGTGAACTGAAGAAAGGATGTCTTTTGAGTCCTTATACTTTTCTCCCTGTTTATTAACGACCTAGTCGATGAATTAACCAGGGAGAGAGGGAGAGAGAGTGAGTGAGAGAGTCCCAAATAATCAGTGGAGTGAGGCAAGGATGTCATTTGAATCCTCCCTTTTTCCCCTTTTATTAACGACCTGGTCGACGAATTAGCAATGGAGAAAGTGAGTGGAGTGAGTTAGTGAGAGAGTGAGTGCAGTGAGTGAGGGAGTGGAGTGAGTAAGTTAGAATTATGGAGAGAGAGAGAGAGAGAGAGAGAGAGAGAGAGAGAGAGAGAGGAAAGAATGAGTGAGTGATTATTCGTTAATGAAGTTGTTACTTGGACGACTCCTTGAAGCCTGTTATTCTTCTCAAAATCTAGTTCTTGAAGTTTATCTATTTACATAACCAATTTTGAATTTGTATCGAGAAAGTAATTATCTATTTTATAAGAATGCAAAATTACTATTGAACATACTTTGTTCAACGGTAAAAGTGCAATACAAAAATAAAACTGTAAAAGATGTATCACAACGTGTTGAATAATGTAAACGTCTTCAGCTCACTTTCCTGTGTTTATTTATAATTATTTTCCAATTTAAATAAATGATCAATTTAATGCAATAATTGACGTTAGTAAGAGCTTGGTGATGGTATTATTTATAATCGCCGAAAGCTCGGTAATTAATGACCGATCGGATTCTATTTTCCTGAGACTTTCATAACCCCAGATCCTTTTACGACAAAAATAAATTGCCCATTATTATATTCAAAGAGAGACAAACGAATAGAAAAGTAATTTGGTTGTTAATGATCATTTTGGTCTGCCTGTCATTGCAGTTTTGGTCTGTCAGATGTTTCGGCATTTCGCCCGTTAAGTCAAACCCAACGCAGATAAACAAAAATGATCAGTAACGACCAAATTAATTATTCATCACCCCGCAGACCTCAAATAGAAATCTGAAAAATAGAAAGTCTTAAGCGCATTCTTAACTGATAGTTAAATAATTTTGGATAACCCCATCCACCCAACGAGACAAATGTACACGCGTACAAAAACAACATAATTTATCAATTTAAAAGTGGGATGAACTATGTTGGTGTTTATATAAACCCTTTCACTATGACTCACAATCAGACGTAAAGTATTTCCTGAGTCAGAAATGTATGGTACATGAGCCCACACAGTTTACATAACGGCACCGTTCCGGTATCAATGTCGGCTTTTCGTTGACCTCCCGGAAATTCAAGGCTGGACGAGAAAAGCCAGGTGGTCTTTTCCTTAAAATGAGTTTCTCGTAGCAATTTCCAATCAATGGCCTTAAACCGAACTCAAAATATAGCGTTATCTCCCTAATCATCAGTACTCCGAACAGGATTATTAATTCAAGAAATGAGAATTTAAACGAAACAAAAGCAACTTTTTTTGGGGGGGAGGGAGTGAGTGAATGCAATATTTAACTTATCGAAGGTAATAAAGTCGAGATTTCAAAAGAAACGACAAAAGGTTTACGAATTTTTCGTCGAATAAAACTGCATAAATTATTCAGGTTGAGGCTCAAAACTGGTCCCTTTTAATAAACAGTGTAGTGAGGCTAGGATGTCCTTTGAATCCTCGCTTTTTTCCCCTTTTATTAACGACCTAGTTGACGAATTAACCACGAAGAAAGTGAGAGAGGGAGTGAGTGAGACAGTGAGTGAATGAGTAAGATAAAGAGAGAGAGTAAGTGAGAGTAAGACCTAAGTAGTTTATTCTTGCTCAAGCTGTTTCTTAAAGTTTATTTACTTATATGCACGGATTCAGGAGTATCAGCAATATTTAGCCTATCTAGAAAAATAAAATCGGGATTTCAAAAGAACGACAAACTGTTTATTGGTTTTTCTTTGAATAAAACGGTATAAATTATTCGGTTGAGATTTTCAAAACTGGTCCCTATTAAAAAAGCAGCGTTGTGAGGCGAGGGAGTCCCTTGAGTCTCTGCTTTTTTCCCTATTTATTAACAACCCGGTCGACGAATTGACCATGAAGAAAGTGACTGAATGAGTGGAGTGAATAAGTGAGAGTTAGGGAGTGAGAGAAGGTGAGAGAGAGAGAGAGAAAGACCTAAGAAATCTATTCTACTTCAAATCTATTTATTAAAGTTTATTTACTTATGTACGTGGATTCTCGAATAACTATTCAACTATTGGCACAATACTTAGCTTATCGAGCACTTTAGAGTCGAGATTGAGATGAGTAAGTGAGAGTTAGGGAGAGAGAGAGTGAGAGAGAGAGAGTGTGAGAGAGAGAGAAAGAGAGTAAGTGAGTGAGTGAATGTGAATGACAAAGTGAGAGAGAGGGAGAGTGACAGGAAAGACCAAGACCATCTTAGACTATACGAATGAGTCTCCCCTCGAAATTCCCATTAACGGCATCAAACTCAATTCGATATTTGTAATGTCAACTAAAACCGTCTGATCTGTCTACCGGCGCCACTCTCTCAATTGTTATTTAAGCGTATAAATTTTATTTTGACAGCTTAAAAGAGGGCGGTTAAAGCATTAAGAAAGAAACAGATATTTCATATAAAATTGTCACTTACTTTTGCTTTGAATGTATATTTCAATGAAAGAAAATTGGATGTCAATAATGGAAGATCATTCGCTTTCAAGAAAAAAAGAACATCCAACGATAACATGAAAATGACCGTGGATAAAGTATCATTCAATTAGAACGCTAAAAAAAGTACAATGAACTTTTTTTACAGGAGTGTAGACGAAGATAAGCGGAAACTGTTTACACAGATATGGCAATATTTTGAAGCTTCCACACGCGAGATAATTGGACGCAGGAAAATAGATAATTTTGTTTCCAATACAGGCAACGCCTTCATCCTACACTTTAAAGGTAGTTTTTACTAAGTACTACATTTCAAAAATTTTGAAAATAAC